TTATAGAAGCCATCTACTTCAATCATGTTATTTTACAAATGAAGAAACTGAAGTGCCCAAGGTCACACAAGCAATTTCAGCTTTTGACCTAGCTAAATTCTCCATTTCCACAAGCATATCTGAGATGTTGCAATTACTAATCAGCTGTGTGACCCTGGGCAATTGCTTAACCTTTCGGAGCCTCAGTTTCTTTAGTTGTAAACTAAAGGAAATGGGCAAGATGGCATTCACAATCCCTTTCACTTCTGTATCTATGATCCTATGATCATTATTTTCTTCCTAGTTTCCACCTATCAATCAATATACATTTATTAAGCAACTACTAAGTGCAAGGCCTTGTACAAGGCATTGATGTTACAAAAACAAAAATAGAATTGCCTCTGCCCTCAAGTGTCTTACAATTCACTCAATTACTCAATTTTTAGAAAGACAGATGGATGGATGGATGAATAGATGGATGGATGGATGGATAGATGGATAGGTAAATGGATGGATAGATGTATGAATGAACAGTTGGATAGATGAATAGCTACACTGATAGCTAGGTGGAAGGATAGCTAGATAGATTACATATATAGCATATATATGTCATATATATACATGGTATACATGTGTGTGAATGTGTATACATGTTTTATACATATATATATATATATCAACAGCAGAGCAGTGATTAATATGTGACTTGCCTTCTAAAGCTGGAAAAAGTGACAAGGAATCAAGATCCTAGGTTTAGTGCTACAAGGAATCTTAGAGGTCATCTGGTCCTGTTCCTCTCATTTTTTTTTTTTTTTTTTGCTTTTTGGTGAGGCAATTGGGGTTAAGTAACTTGCCCAGGGTCACACAACTGGTGAGTGTTATGTGTCTGAGGCTGGATTTGAACTCAGGTCTTCATGACTCCAGGGCTGGTACTCTATCCACTGCACCACCTAGCTGCCCCAGTTCTTCTCATTTTTAAGATGAGGAAATGAAGGCCAAGAGAAGTCAAGAGGCTTGCTCAAGGTCGCACAGGTAGGAAATGACAGAGGCAGGATAGGGATTTCCTACTTTCAATTTTGATAAAAAAAAAATAAGAAACTAGTTGCTAAAGTAGAAATGACAATATTTTTCAAGATAGAAGACCACTAAATCATAGTTTGCGTTAAAGAAGAGGAGAAATTCCGGGCAAATAAGTCGTCTGATATTCTCCTTAGATTTTACAAGAACGTATATCAAAATGTTAAAAGGAAGGATAGGTAGGCTCTAACAGCCTAATATTTTGTAGATGTCAGCCGAAGAGGGATGACGGTAAGCACTTAAGAAAGAAATACTAAAGACATGAGAGAAAATGATTCTTCTAGGAAAAAAAATGAGAGCTGTCTAGAGAGAGATGTGGCTCCAGAGGGAAATCATGAACAAACAGACTTTTAAAGAGATATGTAGAGGAGATGGAAGAAAGGGAAGAAGGAAAGCAAATGAGGACAAATACAACGTGAAAATCATGTCAAGAATGAGAAATATCAGAATGAACTAAGACTGACAAAAAATGCCAAGAACAACATAAAATCTATATAGGTTAAAAATCTATAGGTTAAAGACTTGTTAAAGCTATATTGGGGCCAAGAGGAGCACCAATGTAGGTATAGGACCAATGACTGGGGATAGGGAGCAGGGATAGGTAGTATGGATGACAGCAAAAGGAATGAACTATTCAACTCTTAACACGAGTTCAGTTTTCTTTTCCCAGGATAATGATCTTGGAAATAGAAAGAATATAACAAAAATGGTCAGCAGGGTTAGAAATCTAAGGCTGATGAAGGGACAGTAAGATAGCTGCATCAACGTGCCCTCGGTGAGTTCCAGAAGAATTATATCCTTAGTTATTGAAATAACAGGTAGATATGATGGCTGGGTTGCTGTTTATGATCTTTGAAAAGTCTTGTAGAATGGGAGAATTGCCACAAGACAGAAGAAGGACAAATGTTCTTATTTTCAAAAAACAGGAAGAGAATAGTTTGCAGACTGTAAGCCAGGGAATTTAACATTTCCATATCTGGCAAAATTTTAGAATTATTAAATAAAAAGGTTAGTGAGCTCTTCAAAATGGTGGACAATAAACCAGTGGTCTCCTATTATGGTTTCATTGAGAACAGATCATTTCAGAAAAATTTCGTTTCCATTTTTCACAGAGCAATCAGACTGTTAAATTAGGGGAATGCTGTAGAAGTAGCATACAAAGATTTAAATAAATCATATGATGAAATGATTCAACTCAATCTATCCTACAAAAAATATAGAGATGTGTGTTAGATTATTAATAATAGTAATACTTCTACAAAACATTTTCCATATGTTAACTCATTTGATCCTCACAACATCTCTGAGAGGTAGGAACTATAATTACCCCCATTTTACATATGAGGAAACCGAGGCTGAGGTCTCTATTTTTGCTGATAATACAGAGAGATGTTGGTTAGATTTTATTATTGTTATTGTTGCTATTAAAAATAATTCTGCAATGCATTTTTTATATACTATCTCATTTCTCTTTATAATAACCCCAAGAAATAGGTGCTATTAGTCTCCTTTTTAGTAATGACAAAGCTGAACCTGAGAGACTTTCCCAGGGTCATACAACTAGGAAATAAATGAGATTTAAACCTAGTCCTTAGAACAACAAACCCACTGCTCTTTCCACCATGACGTGAGCCCTGCCATTATGGAGATTAAACTCTGGGAAAGAACTATAGAACTTTAAGGTTGGGAGAAATTTGAGAGTCAAGTCTAACCACCGTGCTTGTTTTCAGAGTCAGAGTCTTAATTAGGACAGCACACTGGCTCTGGAGTAAAAAAGACCAGAGTTCAAATACTGCTTTGGGCATTTACCAGATATGCAAATCTGGGTAAATCATTTACTCCCTCTGTAACTTAGTTTCCTCATCAATTAAATAATGAGGTGGGACTAGATGTTCCCTAAGGTCCTTCTAGGTCTACATCTATGATGCTATGACTTGCATTAAGGAAAAAAAGATAAAGATAAAGGCTAAAGGACTATTATTTAGCTAATTGTCTTGAATCTGTAATAAAGTTGCAAATCCTGGTCTGTAGGCCTCATGTACCTTCTTATAATTGTTTTGAGATGAAGCTCAGAAAATCTAGGGCTGAATGGGGAATTTAGAGATCATCTAGTGCTAGTCCAATTTTTCTTTTATGAAAGAAAAATAAAAAACCTAAGATCTAGAGAAGGGAAAGGATTTGCCACAGGTCATACTGTTCCTTGGAAGTAGGAAATCCTGGATTTAGATCCAGGTCCTCAAGAACCTAAATAGACTCATTTTTCATAGACTCACACAGTATTACCCACAAAACAAAGATGGCAAGATACCTGGCTGAAAGCCTAATGATAACACCAAAAGATGCTACCACAGTCTTCCAACTAGAGGAAATTCCCAGATTTTAGAAGGAATTCCTGGTGAATGCTGATGTATTTCAAATTCTGCAACTCCTTCAATGTTCAAACCTACCCCCACAAAAATTGGTTCTCTTCCTTTTATTAAATAGTATTTGCAGCAACCATAACCATATCCTATCATATCCTATGGCAGACATAAGGATAGAAATATTCCTCCATGGAAACTAACCTGGAATACAATTGAGTTCTTTTCCCATGGAGCCCAGGGTAAGAAAAACAACAGAGGGAATTTTCAGAAACCAGAGTCCCTAAATACTTGGAAATATACCCTGACTCCAGTGGAAAGAGCATCTGAGTTTGTAGATATGCCTATGAATAAGCAGTATGCACTGATCACAGCTGACATGAATGATAATGATGAAATCATCTTGGAACAGTCATAAGCAGTCTTTTTTCCCCATTGAGCATGATTTGGAAATTGCCCTTGGAAGATTGGGAGGTACTACACATTAAATAAATATGTATTCCCATCTATAAAATCCCTGATCCATAAAACTATACCATGTCAAAGCTATACTGGACCTTAAAGCGCAGGTAGTCCAACCCTTTCATTTTCCAGAAGGAGTCAAGTGAAAGGAATAACTTTACTGAGTTCAAACACTTAGTAACTGACAGAGACACTTTTTGAATAAAGGTCTTCTGACTTGAAATTCAGTGTTTATTTTGTTTTTGTTTTTCCATATCACAAAGCCTCCTGGGCAAACACACAGAGCTGCAAGTGTATGGAATAAGAAAAGAATGATGAAATATTTTTCAATTTCAATGAAATGTAGATGTTTTGAAGGAGAGGATTGTTAGATCAGGCTTGAAATGTGGGGCATCAAAGTGGAAGATTCATCTGGATCAACTTCGCCTCCCAGAATATGCCCCTTTTTCTTCTCAAATCCTTAAGCTACTCCCTCATGCCAACTGAATGAAGTCTATACTCCTGAAGCTGCCATCCAAGGTTCAATGTCACTTGGTTCCAAGTCACATTTCTTTAATGTGCATCCTCTTAATTTTCCCTTGGAGGAAACCAGTCCTGGGGAGAAAAGGGCAACCCTTTCCATTGACTGATTACCCTCCATTATCCTGGAAATCCAGAAAAATACAAACTAAACATTACCAGGGTCCAGAGTTTAGCACGGGTGAAAAGCCTGATTCTTTCATCTCTGTCCTTAAAATCTGGCTGCTCCTTCTCCAAAAGGGGAAAGAGAAGAGGAGAAAGCCTCTTGAATGTCCAACTTAGTTTACATAATTCCTTTCTTTTCTGGGTAAGATTTCTTTTTTCCTTTCTAAAAAATTTCGGAGAAAGCCAGGCCCAAAAAATTCACTTCCTGCGGTCAGCGCTGGCATGGCTTTTCCCCTCATTGACTTTCTGCCTCGGTAGGAATATGGAAATCATGTAGTCACAGGCCACAACTTCCCTCTCACACTTCCTGGCAAACTTCAAAGCCCAGCTGTGTGCTCAGCGGATTTAGGAGTCTCCTTACCATTCTTTCCCTATGACGTCTCCAAGGGAGGGGGGACCTCTTTCCCCCTCATTCCTTTTTTCTCCCAATAAAAGGGAGGAGAAGAGAGCCAGATACTCAGCGAGGCCAAGAGACACTTGGAAGCTGTTGAACCTCCTCCGCAAGCCTACCTCCTCTGCAAGCCTACCTCCTCTCCAACAGCACCATGAAGGTCTCCACAGCTGTTCTGACCCTGGCCCTCATTGCTGCAGCCCTTTGCTGTCAAGTCTACTCTTCACCTGGTAAGTGTTCTCAGTCCTTCATTTCCACCTACCCAAGGATGCGTGGGATTGATTGTCTCATTTCTGTGTTGCTATCAAATATGAGAAGTGGAAAGGATCTTAGACCCATATAGCCATCATTTTACAGAAGGGGAAATTGAGGCCCAAGAGAAGATGTAACTTATCTAAGGTCACACATGGCTAGTTGGTGGTAAAGCTAGGGATGGAACGCAGGACTCCTGGTGGCCTTTCTGTCACTCCATGCTTTCAATGTCTTTCTCAAGAGTAGATTCCTCCATGTGGCTACTATCTCAGCAACACCTATAATAATTGGTGATGCACTTGGGGAGAAATCCCTCATAAAGACATTTCTGGAGCTGAACAGAATGGTTCCTTTGCCAAATTTTGCTTGGAGGACCAGAACTTTAACTGAACAATGAGTTTGAAATTGTATTAGTTAAAGTGCTGGCTTTCTCTGCTCCTGCAATGGATAATGTCCATGTAAGACAAGAAGGTCACAGTGACATTTCCTCACCTGGCATCTGTTTGCTTATAGATGCAAAAGGACAGAAAACAGGTTTTGCTAAGTCCTAGTGTTTAATTCATCTTAAATGCTTTTAATGATTAATTCTTCCTAATTACATTTTAGAAACTTATTAGGTTGGAATGGGATGCTATTCACGTGATGCTTCCCTATTTCATTGGTGAGAAAACTGAGGAAAAAAGTTTAAGTGGCTGAGCACTGTGCTCACCTAGAACACTCCCAGTCTTAGCCTGGGGCACACAGTAGTTCTAGGACAGGAAAGGATGCTTGCAATTGTAGATGAAGGTATTTATTCTCCATACTTTCCTTTCTTTTCCTTTCTCTTTCTTGAAATACAAAAAAAAAAAATAGAAACATCCTAAACTGGTATTTCTTGGGCTCCTTTCAGATGGTCCTGCCACTCCGACCTGCTGCTATGACTTCACCAGTAAGAAGATTCCTTCAAAGCTGGTGGTGAGCTATGGGGTGACCAGCAGCAGATGTGCCAAGCAAGGTGTGATGTAAGTTAACCAGACATTGCTCCCTTATTCCCTATACTATACTGGCCATTCACTACAGGCATAGGGGACTGGGGAAATAGAAGTCAGATTTCACAGCTGAACTTGCAGGAGTGGTAATATGGCAAGTTCAGGCCTTTTTGTAGTCAAACAAAAGAGCTAGCTTCCGTGTTAGGGCTGTTGACCCTATTTTTTATTTTTTTATTTATTTTTAGTTTTAGGCAATTGGGGTTAAGTGACTTGCCAGGGTCACACGGCTAGTAAGTGTCAAGTATTTGGTCTGAGGCCAGATTTGAACTCAGGTGCTCCTGACTTCAGGGCTGGTGCTCTATACACTGTGCCACCTAGCTGCCCCTATTGATACTATTGATGAATAGAAAAAGCACCAAGAATAGATTGCATCAATTCTATTAATAATTCTATTAATATCTATTAATATTCAAATTTGAAGGAGAATCCAAGAATCACAGAACGTAAGAATAGGATGGACTGTTAGAAGCCAAACCTACTTTTTTTAGTCCAGCCTACATTTTTTCTATTAAGGAAAATGAAGACCCAGAGAGGAGAAGTGATTGGTCACACAGCTAAATAGTGTCAAAGCTGGTACTAAAATGCAGGGCTCTTGACTCAGACTCTTGGTCTTTTATAAAAGTCATTCACACTTGTTCCCATCTGAAAGTCAATATCTGCTTTGTCATAGAGTGGCTTTGGGTAAACCATTTATATTCTCTTGGACTCAGTGCCTCCCTCTGTAAAATGGGGGACCAGATGATCTCTGAGGTTCCTTCTAGACTCTACCCTACCATATGAAATGCAAAGGAGGGATGCAATTGATTCAAATATAGGAAAACTGGAGAGGCCAGATGTGTTCTTGGGCCTGGTTTTATGGTAAACAGGGCAGAGTTAGGGTACACCACTCATATCCCAACTCATAGTCAACCTAGAACTGAAACCTGATGATGGGGAAGCAGGCAGAGGTACCTCATGGAGAGAGCACCCTTTCCACAAAGGCCAATGGAGGATAGGCCCTCTCTACTTGGATTTTTATTTACCACCTATAATTCCTTCTCAACCTGCTGGTTATCTTAACTGGTATTGGAGCAGGACATCCCAAGGATCAGGACAACTGCTCCTAGGCCAAGGGCAGCAGCACATGGCTTTTAAGAGTAGTTCCCATTGGGTTCCCTTTTCTAATTCCCAGTTTCTAGAATCCCAGTTTCTAGAATTCTAGGGTCAGAGCAGAGAGGGAGAGCAGGATTAGGGTAGGATGACTCACCCCTCCCGGCTGAATACACAAAGCTGCTCACCAAAGGTTCTTTCTTCTACAGCTTTATTACAAAACAAGGCTACAACATCTGTGCTAACTCAAAGGAGCAGTGGGTCCAACATGTTATGAAGCAATTAGACAGCAAGAAAGCCAAGACCCAGAGTTCATGAAGGCTACTGCTACTTCCTCTTGCTGCTGCCTGCTTAGAGATCCAAGCAGGATGGAAGAATAATTTATTTCCCTCCCACCTCGCACAGCTGTTCTGTGTAACATTTTATTATAATTTAAATATGTTTTGTCTTATTTAAATTATTGTTTTTTTAACTTTATGTGTCACAAGAATTTGTGCCTTAATCATCATCATCATCATTATTATTTGTAACCTATTCTTAGGCCAGCACTTCACCTCTGTGCCTTCACTTTCTCATCTATAAGATGGACGAGGTTACATTCCTCTCCTCCCTCTTCATAAAGATATTGTGAGAATTGTATTAAAAATCCATAAGAAAGGTGTTTGGGCCTTTTGCAGGGCTGTCACACCTTTAACCCAAGGTACCGATAATGGATGTTATTATGGAAAACAATACTACACTACGGCTATCGAATTTCCGTAGACAAATATATTTTTGTTTATAAAATCTTCCAACTGTGTTTTTTCGTGCATATATGGGGAGGCTACAGCAACCTGGGTGAGACGGTGCTAAGGTGAGGGTTGAAGGGGATGATAGACTCTAGAGAAGGCAAGAAGCTCTTGGTTGTTATCCTTCCTGGCTTAGCTGGTAAAACCTTCATTTTAGTGCCAACCAACCAAGGTCTCCTTTCTAAGAAGCTATTCCCTATAAAAAACCCAAAACTGACTCCCTATACCTTCCTTTCCTTTATGTTCTTGACTCCCCTACCCCCAGGTCTAACAGCCCAAACCTAATTTCTTTCAAATCCGAACCCTTCATGTTTAAGAAGACAACTCTTATAGCCCTTTACCCTCTGCCCAAGTCATCTGTTATCTTGGATGACTATCTCCACTTTCTCCAGCTGGTGCTCCTATCCTCTCCTGTTCCCACCATGCCCTAGGTTAGCTCCAGCTAGTCAATGTCCTTTCTTTCATGTGGAGACTTGCTAACAATTCCCAACCTGCTCCTCAGTGGATAGGGGTGTTCTGAAAGCTTACAGAATGGTACCTGGGAATTTCAGCATCCCAGCCAAAACCAAGGAGAAAGTGAATGAGTAAAGAAGACTGATTCTTCTGGGCACCCCAGGGAAAAGGTGAGGAACAATGTTGAGAGAGGGCCAAGAGGAAAGTGTCTTGCTGGTCCTATAGACATACAAAGACATCATTTTGTCACCTGCTCAGCTGCTGTCCCCTCCAGAACTATGGACCTTCAGAGCCTCTGCCCTGAAAATGTTAATTCACTTAGCCTTAGAACTGCCACCCTGGGGCTAAGCTGACCAGCTTGGTAAGGGAGGAACTGCACACCCATAAAGCCCCCTGTCTCTAAGCAGCCATAGACCAGACTCATCCTTATATCCCATTTAACCATCCACCCAAGCCATTTTCTTTCTTTGTAAAAACAATTATTTATTTAGTGTTTTGTTTTTCCCCAATTACATGTAAAAATATTTTTTTTACATTCATTTTTAAAATTTTGAGTTTTGAGTCCCTCCCTCCCTGCCCTCCTTGTTGAGGAGCCCAGGCCATTTTTCTTGACATATTTCCTATAGTCATATACATAAAGTCTAATTTATCATCAGAAAAAATATCAGTGGGGTGGGGAGAGAGAAAGCAGAGTGGTTGGGGGTGGGAAGGTTTGGGCATTGTGTGTGTGTGTGTGTGTGTGATATTGTCAATAAGGAGACAAGAAAGAAGCAAACCCTCTTGGGATAAGATGGGGCTCCCAGGGAGTTAGCACTCAACATATAGTTAACAAGATTTCTTTTTATTTTTAAAAAAAGAATCACATTCCAATTGATGTTTCATCAAGGTCCGTATTTCACAGCAATACCTATGAAGTCACATTTACCATATTATATTAGGATCTCTAATTCACTTTCTTCATTTACTTATTGCAACATCAGCAGCTCCTGCTCCTATCTGCCTCTGGGATTTCAAATATCTGAGTCATGGTGTCATGAGGCCATGATTTCCCTTGCTTGCAGGCTTGCATTCCAACACCCCCTCATCCTTGAAACAGCAGATAGATTGATGCACTGGACAATTGAGGTCCCTACTACAATCTGGAGGGCTACAGGGAGACCATAATTGCCTAGACTCACTCCCCAATTGTAAGTGTATCTCCACCTTCTCTTACATGCATCACAGTGATTCTGAACCTCAAACTACCAAAGTACAAACCTCATTCCTTAACTCTTATCTAGTCCCTCATTCTCATCCACTTCAAGCTGACTCCCAATGTCCCACTCCAGGTCTCCCTGTCCCTTGCACTGTGGCCTATAAAACTCCTATTCTGTAATGAACATACTTCTTTCCATGTAGATATTTTTTCTCATGTTCCTTTCACTTTCTGGCACTCACTTAGACTTAATTCCCCCACCCCACCCTTCCCGAATGACAGAATCTCAAACTTTCTACTGCTGGTTGTGCCTCTGCTCAGACCACCTTGACTCACTGTGGGTCCTGGTGAGGAGTAGTGTATGCTTTACTTGCCCATTAACACTTCCGTTAACCACCTGTTATTGTTACCATCTTTGAGTCATTTCAGTTGTGTTTGACTCTCTCTGCCCTCATTTGGGGTTTTCTTGGCAAAGATACTGGAGTGGTTTGCTATTTCCTTCTCCAGTTCATTTTATAGATGAGGAAACTGAGGCAAACAGGGTTAAGTGACTTGACCAGGGTCATACAGCTAGTGAGTGTCTGAGGCCAGATTTCAATTCAGGAAGATGAGTCTTCCTGATTCCAGGCTCAAGGTTCTATCTACTGTACCACCTAATTGCCCTTAACCACTAACCCTTACCAATCTCTCTTCCACTGAGATTCACTCCATCTAAATTTCTTACCTAATTCAGATCAAGGTGTTATTATCAAATAACCCCTTCTCCTATACCAGACATTTCCCTTTCTTTCTCCAAGAGTTTGGTGTCTAATTCATATTCACCTCTAGCCCGCCTTTTGCATCACAAGAGTCCTGACTCTCTCCCTGGGGTCCCCCCCTTCTGCCAAGAGGGTTTCCTCCTTTCTTGCTTTATGGTTGGCACCCACATCCCACCCCATAATATATTTTCCCCTCCCTACTTTGCCTCCACCCTCCAAGTATGACCTAGTGCCACTGAAAAATGAGAGTTCCACAAAGGGATGTGCATGAAAAAGCTCACACAGGCTCCCAAGAGAGCTGGTGTCTAAATTTTCAGTGAGTGTTTACACCTTAGCAAATGCTACAAATAAAGACTTCATTTATTGTTTTGTTGACTGCCTAGACTTAAGAGAATGATGGAGAAATTATTAGCAGGGTAGATTAAACTTAAAAGTGGGTCATGCCTTTGTAGAGAGCAACACACAACCTTGGTGTTGGCCTGTCCAAGGTGGGTCCTGCTGACTCTCTCACCTCTTCTACAAGGGGTCATCTAGCCTTTGGGAGAGCATCAGGTTAGACCATACTGTCTTCTAAATTCATCTGACCATACCTCTACAACCTCTTTTTCTTAATGAATAAATGAGTGAATGAAAAAAATCTTTTTTAAAGGCTTACTGTGTGCCAAGCACCATGCTAGGCCCTGGAAATAAAAATACAAAAATTGTGGTAGTGCTTGTCTTCCAGAAGCTTACATTGCAATGGAGGAGACAATCTATGAAGGGAAATGTGGGTCAAGGCTGGAAGATGTCTTCTGGGAAATCACAAGGATAATGAGTGAGGCCATGGGGAGGTTGATTGTTATGCCTTCTCCAGAAGTCATGGTAATAGTGATTTGATTGAGGCTCCTAAGTCAAGAGGGGAAGGGGATGAAGGGTGTATTAGATATGTGGCTGCAGGATACATGGCAAGAAGACGGCTTGGATGGATGATTAAACGGGATGAGAGGATAAGTCTGGTGTGGGGCTGCTTAGCTACTGGGGCTTTGTGAGGGTGAATTCACTCCTTTATCCATAAGGACAGCTTAGCTGGAAGGGTGGAAGTTTCAGTGCTGAGTTGATTAACTCCTCCAAGGCCTGGACTTTGGAGGGAATCTTATCAGAAAGAGCATCTTCTGGGTAAATGGCAAGATAATGTCTTAGTGTGAGTGCTGATCCTGAAAGGAACATTGTTTATGGCCTTCTTCTAGGCTTGTTCCTCACCTCTTCCCAAGTATTTCTTCCTTCTTTACTAATTCTCCTCTCCAATCTTTCCTGGGTGCCCAGATTCCAAGTTACAGTTCTGGTAAGCCTTTAGAACATACCTGTCCAATGGGGAGCAGACTGGGGGAGTGGATCATAGTGAATTTCCACATTAATGAAATGATACTGATAAGCTGGAGCAAAATCTCAAGACCCAATGAGCATATGAGAAGATGGAGACCCTCCTTTTGGAACCATTTGAAGGGGATGTATATCTAGAGAAAGGGATGATGTACAGGGAGTCTAGGGGCATGAGAGATGTCTTCTTATATATAAAGGGTTGTGATTATATCGGTGTGGGGAGACAGAAAAAGGCCAAATGAATGCCAGGTATAGGGAAGCAGTTTTTAAATTTAATATAGGGAATGGCTTCATAGGAAGGAGCACTGCCTGAACCTTGAAAAGATTGCTCAGGAGGTTACAAATGTCACTTAGTGGAGCAGTTTAAATGGGAGTTTTATTGTAGAGGGAATTCTGGCTTCTTGTGTGATTTTCCCTAAATTTCCTCTGAGGCCCCCCTCAGACTGAAATTCTGTAACTTTAGGATTCTAAAGCAGGACTGACAATGGAGAAAGCCATGTGGCCAACTAGGTCATTTTGAAGTAGAAATGGTAGGAGTCAGGATTATGAAGGATGAGGGAGGCAGAGGTGAACATTGGTAGCAGGATAATGGAACTTTCTCATCCTGTCCCTAGTTGGTTTGCCCTGAAATGAAGATTTTTCTGGCTAAGCCAGAAAAGAGATTCTTGCATCCTCTGGGGCCTGCTGTGCCCTCCAACCCTCACTTTAGCTCCCTCCCACCCTGGTAACTATAGCTGCCCTATATATACACAAGAAAACACAGTTGTCAGGTTTTATAAACAAAAATATATTTTCTGTAGAAATTCAATGGACATGCTGTAGCATTATTTCCCATAAGGACATTCACTAATAATACTCTGGGTTCAGAGTGTGACTATCTTCAGAAGGTTCAAACACCTTTCACATGGGCTTTCATACCAATTTTCACAGCATCTCTTTGAGGTAGGGAGGAGAAGAAGTGATCATTGCTTAATTTACACACACAAAGTCTAAGGCACAGAGGTGAAGTAACTGACCCAAAGGTAAGTTACAAAAAGAGATAACAAAGACAAAGTCTTGAGGCACAAAAAGCTAAACACTAACAATTTAAATAAGACAAAATATATTTAAATTATAATAAAATGTCTTAAAGGGCAGCTGTGGGAGGTGGGCAGGAAATAGATTATTCTTCAACCCTGCCTTGGTATCAGGTCAAGCAGGGCTGGGTGGAAGGGTCAGGAGCCTTCCTGAACTCTGG